AAAATAAGAAAAAAAATATATTTTTAAATTAGGGAGCCTAAACAAGAGGCTGAGTCTCTTAAATTGACTCCACATAAAGAGCGCTTGCAGGTGGATATGGTTTATTGGTGTATTAATGAACACCTACCCAGTTTGAGAATGTGATAATATTTTCAAGATAATATTTTGAGAATGTGATAATATAATTGTATAATACATTCCTAACGTTTTAATTATGTAGTAAAACTCATCCTTGAGTACATCTTGGACAAATTTGCTTTCCTTTTTAAATAAACAAATATAAAACAAAATCGCATAGCATCTAAAAAATGAAGGAAAGTTGAGGAGTACCATAACATTTCTAAATAAAGTTATTTTATAGGTAAAAAAAAAAAAATATTGACTGAATTTTTACAGAACAAAACTTGACAATTTTTTATTGGTTTCTATGAATAATTCCTTGCATACTGTTTTATTAAATTAAATGTGAATTAGGTATTCAAACGTATAATGCTACTTATTAGAAAAAGGTAAATTATATAATTTGTTATAAAAGTGAAGAAAAAAGAAGAGAACAGAGAGAAGTTAATAGACTTGTGTGTATTTTATTAAGAACCAAAACCCTGTATTTATAGGGTAGAATTATGGGTACAACAATAATAATTTTTAGGGCTGCAGGAGTATAATTGTCATTCACCTCTAAATCCTAATAAACTTACATTTTACCACACTCCCCCTTAAATGATACATTATAAAATATCTACTTCGTTAAAACCTTGTTTAATAAAAATTCAATGGGGAAAAAATCAAATGAAGAAAAAAGAATACAGTTATTTTGGAATACTAAAAATGAATGCTGCCTCATTAAAACTTTGCTGGGAAAATCTAGTGGGACAAAATCTAAGTGAAGAAAAATAGTACAGCTACTCCCTTTGATGTTGATCGCTGGAGATGTTTGAGTCGACGCATTCCAATATCATAAAATAATTTCTCGAATGTAAATGTTAGCAGTGTTTTTGTGAATAAATCGGTCACATTGCCACTTGAGATAATTTTTTGAATATCAATGTCACCATTCTTTTGAAACTCATGTGTATGATAGAATTTTTGAGAAATATGCTTCATTTTGTCACCTTTGATATAGCCCTTTGAGTTATGCAATACAAGTTGCATTGTCTTCATACAAATTTGTTAGTTAACCTGCACAATGCTGAGATATGATGAGTCATGTCCTCAACCATACACATTATTGGCTTGCTCATGGATTGCAATAATTTCATAATGATTTGAGGATGTTGCTGTCAATGATTACTTCACGGATCCTCATGATATAGCTGTTCCTCCACGTGTAAATACATATCAGAAAAAGTTATGTTAAGTCAAGTGTAATTTACAAGATAAATTAATACTCAAATTGCAATAAGGTATAGTACTTCAGAACCAAGAACTTTTTCTCCATCTTCAAGTGGACGAAATGGATCTTTTTTCACATCAAGTGATCGAATAACCACAAGTGATGCCAGTGGATGTGCATTATCCATGTAAAAACGTTTTAAAACTTTTTTATGTATACATAGATTGGTGAACAAATAATCTTTCTAGGAAATGTTCAATTTGTAACCCAAGACAAAATTTGATTTTTCCCAAATTTTTCATCTCAAATTCATTTTTCAAATAATCAGTAGCTTTGTTGAGCTCTTCAGGAGTTCCAATTAAATTTAAATCATCAACCATAATTGCAAATCTAATATTTGTTTTCTTTATGAAAACATATGGGCGGACATGGTAATTTTCAAAGCATTCATTCAACAAATATTCGCTAAAGTGATTATACCACATGCGTCCAGATTGTTTTAACCAATATAATAATCTAAGAACATAGTTCTCAGGCATGTATCATTTGAGTTATGCTTCATGCATATTAAATCTTTCAAATATAACATTAATAATCATGTCAGGTCAATTGACTATCACATATTTCAAATTTTATGTATTTTCAAGATAACATGATATAGGCTCGTGATTTCATCTATGAAGATCCTTGCAAAATTCACTATGTTGAGTCGTGCATTACACAATACGATTTCATTATTCTCATTTATTTTTCGTATAAGTATATACTTTTAGATTTTGGGACTGCATGTCCAAAAATTCGTGTTTATCTAGTAAGTTTAATTTAAGAATGCGTCTCCTTTTATTTGGCCAAACATTATTTCGATTGATATATTTCGACGCATTTATTTCGATTCCTTGCAATTCACATATGATACTGTATATCATGTACAAAATTGTTGTCGACAATTTTTTCTTCTCTCATTCAATTCTATTTTTTTTTCCATAGCGATATAACTTATTTAGATATCTCAATTTTTAATATATCAGGTACGCTTTATAATTTATTATGTCTAAATACTCATTAAAAGTATATGCCTCCTTAATGAAACCATTTTTGCCAATTGCTCCATTTTTATTTGAAGATTTTTGTATTAGAATCGAATATCATCACGCTTTAGGCGTGCTATAGATATATCAAATGTAATGCTAACAAATTGTCCCCTAAGGGATCAATTCGTATTGGAGCATTAAAAATTGATGCATAGATATTGCTGATCTCTTTAATCAATAGATGCATCTAAATAAATTATGTTTCGAACTTCTGATTCGAATGATATTTAGCAAAGATTTAGATGATAATTCATTTATACATTATTTTTAACTTCTTAATTCCTCCCCTAATGTTGAGAGAATTGTCCAATCAAATTGACAATAATTTTTTTAGTGTTACAAAATATCGTCCAGTTGAAATAATAGTTCAAACTACGTAATTATTCTCAGCATTCTTTATTTTCCATCTCAGTGTATTGTGGTGTTCAATTTTTACATATACTACACCATAAAAAATAATCAGATGGAAAAATTAGGATCTAACCATAAGGTGATTATAATAGGGAGAATTATGATTTTGACATGATGCGTAATAGAATTTCCTAAATAAAAATAGGAAATACTTTAATCTCAATTAAATTAATTAGAGGCATTTAACAAATAATAGTGTTAAACTATTTATCGACATATCCACTAACACTTACTAAAATGTTGAGATTTATGCCCACTAATATTAGCAAGACATAGTTTTGATTAAATAATCTGATTATGCTCATAACTTAAGCAATAATTTGCAAAATTCTAGGTTGCGAACACCATGCAATAATCTAATTTTTGTGTCAAATATATTAGGTACAAATAATATTTAGATGGTTAACATAGTGGGTGACGGGGCCCCATATATCACCCTAATTAATTTTCAGAAATATAGAGAATTCAATCCCTATTTTAGCTAGCGATATTTAATGATCAATTGTCGATAAAGAAAACAAATAATAAATAGGAATTCAATGGATTTAAAAATCTTATTATTCTTCATTTAATATCCATTAAAAGAATTTTAATTTCGCATCATTATTGATCCAATGATGGTTTAACTGGTCATCCAAATAATAAAATTAAACTGAACTTCTGCTTCAATATAATATATAATTCAATTATTTAATCTAGAAGAATATAATTAAATATTGTATAATCATATATCATTTAAGTAGTCAAACTAATCAATGTTCTAACAATATTAGTTATATGTTTTCTTTTAGGGATAAACATGAATTCAAAATAATATATTTTTCGAAACACGTCTTGCTTTAAAAGCACGTTATATATATATTATACTTTTCAAGAGCACGTAAGATCTAACTAGAATATTAATGAAATTTATAATGTGCTATTTTGATATCATATTATATTTTACTATTATTTTTTCAAGAACAATAGATCAATATTTTTCTGACATATGAAAATTTTTAATGTCATACTCTTCAAGAGTAATAAAATATTATTGTTTACAATAATAATTATGTAAGGATTTACTCTTCAAGAGTAATAACATAATTTTATGTTAAATCTTATATCATTATGCTCTTGAATATCAATAAAATCTGATCAAAACACCAATATCTAAATATGTATGTAGAAAAATAGACACGTAAATAAATAGAGTTATTTAATTCATGATTTTACATATAATCGATTAATATTCTTCAAGAATATTGAAATTATAATATCGTATTCTTTTGGAGCAATTAATATTCTTTTTTAAAATATGAATAACATTATATTTCTTTAGGAACATCAACATAACTTTTTTTTATATATAAAATGTGTTTTCTTTAGGAACACAATGAGACATATAATTTTCAAAAACATAAAGACAATATTCTTTTGAAATATTGATATTAACGATTCATTCTACCTTTTGAGCTAAATAATAAAATTTATGTCCTACATGAGTAACAATGAAATATTCATCTTGAATATTTATATAACGTGTGTTGCGTTTCTTTGAGAATATCATCATTATATTCGTTTAAAATAACTATAATTTAAATTATGCTTCTTCGAAAGCATTGAGTCAATATTCTTTTGAAATATTCAACTTGCAATATCATGCTTTTTATAAGCAAGTAATATTTTTCTAAAATATTAATAATGTGATGCTATTTCAGGAGCAACAACGAATTATTTATAATAGATAATATACAATTAATATTCTTCTGGAATATTAATTACAATGTTGTGCTACTTTTGAAATAACAAGATGAAATTTTTTTAATTTGAAGTTCATAGAATAATATCTAAAAATATTTAATTGCCATATAGACATGATATGAATTTATATAGAAAATTGCTTACCAAACATGCATTAGAAAAAAGAATCTCCATACATAGAAGTTCAAAAAATTGACTAAATTAGTTATTGGCTAAATCTTTTACCAACATACAAAAGATATTAAATATGCAAATGAATTTCACATATATAAAAATCAAAGATAGAACTAATATGTAACAGATTCAAGAGACATAATTAATATCGAATAATATGTGAAAAATGATTGTATATGAATAAAAAACGTGAATTAATATGTGTTCAGATTACACATACAAACGTGAATTATAATTAATATGTATGCCGATAAAAAGTAGAGAAGAAGAAGCAAACTCATTGTGATGCATATGTATATTGAAATATTTCACATACTACCAAATTAATTTTAGTACATGTGATAAATATTCATGCTTATAAAAATTATTACCTTCACTAACTTTTGAAAGATTAAATTATCGTACTGATAACGCGTTATAAAAGTGAAGAAAATAGAAGAGAACATGGAGAAGTCAATAGACTTGTGTGTGTTTTATTAAGATTTAAAGCCCTGTATTTATAAAGTAGAATCAGGGATACAACAGTAATAATTTATAAGGTTACGTGGATATAATTGTCATTCACCTCTAAACTTTAATAAACTTACTTTTTACAACATGATTAAAATTTTAAATGTGTTGAATTATATAACATGTTAATTTATATTTTTATAGTTTACTATTATAGAAAGTTTGTCTTTTTCTTTATAATGGAGTTTTGAGTAATTAATCTCATTTCAAGCCAGTTTGGACTCCATTAAAATTTGTTTTTAGGGAAAAACTTATTTTAAATAGTGATTTTGTGGTAAATGTGTGGTTAAAAAAGAAGCAAAAATTTTAGATTTACGTGTAATATTATTTTGCTCATGTTTGACAACCATCATTTCAAAATTCTTTTTTTATATATACTCATCTTCAATCACACATTTACAAAATAAATATTTTGCACGTAAACTTAAACTTTTCCATATTTTTGACCATACATTCTCTAAACGGTTACAATTCAAAACTCTATTTTATCCAATTAATGATTGTTAAACAGAGGCTTTATTGAAGAATATGTTATTAAAAAGAAAAAAGAGAAAAATGTATTAAAATTAAAATGGAGCCAAAGAGAAGCTAAATGATATACGGCTAGAAATAATGTCAAATAGTGTGTGATACTCAAAGAAAAAAGAGACACTGGTGTAATTTTTAAACTCATATTATCTTCATAAAGTTCAGTGGTCTCTCTAATGTTGTTTCGATTAATTTATTGAATTATCTGCAAAATTGTGGGTAGGCCAACGTATGAGAGAGGAAGAACACAACGTTGAATGCCATCTAAAAAACCGGTTTCAATTAATAGTTACAGATGAGGAAATGATACTAATTAATAGTCTCCATGAAATTCGAGGCAATTGTCTCAATTCACAGAATCCACCGTCTCTGTCTGTATCTTTCTCAAACTCACACATACACAGTCTGTAACGCTTGGAAAATGCAAGCACCGAGTTTTTCACACCGCCTATCACCGTCGAACCACTGGCTGTCTCTGGTCACTGGCATTTCGAGTAGAAGAAGCTCAAGCTCGTTTGTTTCCTTTGGGTTCCGTACATTCCAATGCTGCTCCATCCACTCTCCATCTTTGGGTTTCTCTCTCTACATTTTATTGCAATTTGCCTGTTGCATGGACANGAATATTGAAGGTTAGAATTAGGGTGCTTGAACAGGCAGAAACAAAATACAGGAAAATGTATTTATTCTGTAAATTTGAATTAATATGTCACTGTTATGCTGCATAATCAATATTTATGAGTATATTCTGATATGTTATTTTTTCTCCTTCAATGATGGAGGCGCTAGGCTATTCGGCACCTTTTCTCTGCCGTTTCCACTCCAACATGACTATGAGTTTGAGCGGAGAAAATATTATGTACAAGTAAGGAAAAATATTGTATAATTCAAGCTCATTCGTGTGACCCATGCACCCTATATATATATATATATATATATATATATATATAAGCAATTAGTCTGTGTGTACAGACTAAATGTATACATAACAATTCCAGACAGCACACATGGAGCCCACCCTACGTGAGTAAAATATTGCCAAAAAAAACCTACACTCCCACCCCATTGTGAGTATTCTATAAACTCCGTGTCAACCAAATTCTGTACATCTAACTTCATTCATATTTAAGAGCGAATCTTGCTGACACTTGGAATTGTTAGGTACAACACGAAATGCTTCCTTAGTGTGGTGTTTCCAGATGTAACGAGTTCGATCTCCACTTTTTGTATAGTACATTTTTTCAAAAATTGAATTTTAACTCTAACAATATTCAACCCTTCTCATAAATGCGAGAGAGATTAATATCCCTTTGATACGGATGAAATTTTGTATGAAAACTTCAAATAGTGATGACTTTATCACTTTTTCATAAGCATAATAACTAGTAGTAAGATTTTCCTTTAGTATATCTAACTAGATTTTCGCCATCGGAAATTCATGGTATGGTGACACCAAAAGACCCTTTTATGTTTTAAAACTTAAAACATTTGGATCGATCTTAAGAAAAACACTAAACGAACTGCAGAAATCAAAGAAAATCAACACAAGATATGGTTTGCCCTTTTAAAAGGGCTCGGATGTTCGGTTTTGCAACCTAATCACCCGTTGAGCATCTCTCACGAGATTAAGCTCTAGATCCACTAATAACGAACAAGAACAGCATACAAATGTACGAAGAAATTGGAAATTTCTTTGAGTTTATCTTGCCTCTTGACACAACAACAACAATACTGCTATCACTCTCACAGATTGCACAAAACAACCATTTCTCTACACAAAGATCAGAATAATATCAATCACAAAGATCGATTTCATCTAACATGGCCAAACCCTATTTTTCACTCAGAAACAAAGGACAGAGAGAACGACAGAGAGTAAGATGAAGAGACTGCACACCAGAAGTCTCTAGAATGGCAAAAATGAAAAGGCTAAGACCCAGTGTAAGTATTCGTATCCATCCAACGATCAAAGGGCAGAGATTTAGCCACGTGTACGGCTAAAATTAATTCTTGAAGAGGCATTTTTTTTTTTTATCAAAAACACGATTTCATTAAACTTGAAATAACCACAGCAACCCGATAGAGCATTTGGTCCAATAACAGAGGCCCACAAAGCCAAGAATCATGTGAGGCAGCCCACAAATACTTAACAATCTCCACCTTGCTGAACTGATTCTTATTCTTTACTAATGGATCTAGATACTACATCAACTTGAGTTCATTTGCTCGAACTACCTGAAAAAGAAAAAAAAATTAGATGAACCTTATCAACAGAAACTTATTATAAGTTTTGAATTCATCATATCATGTGACATTCAAAGTTTTCGAACAATTCTTAAATTTGTTTAAAGGTAACACCTTAGTGCCCGAATCAGCAGGATTAAATTCTGTGGGAATTTTAACCAACTTAATCAAATATTTTTCTACCATATTTCGTACAAAATGAAATTTTATGTCTACATGTTTAGTTCGATCATGATATACAAGGTTTTTGCTAAGGTGTATTGCACTTTGATTATCAGTATATATACTAACAGAATCATTTGCAAAGCCAATTTCATTAATTAAGCCTCTCAGCCAAATGTTTTCTTTAACAGCATCACATGCTACAATATATTCAGCTAGAAGATAAGGCAACCAATTTTTGCAACTGTGACTTCCAACTTATACACCCATCACATAAGGTGAAAATGTAAGAAGACGTAGATCTTCTTTTATCTAAGTCACCAGCAGAATCTGAGTCTGTATACCCTTTCAGTTTTATCTCTTGATTGCTCTTTTTGTACATTAATCCTAAATCAGATGATCCTTTCAAGTACCTTAACATCCATTTCATGGCAAGCCAATGTGTTTCACCAGGATTAGCCATAAACCTACTTAATACACTAATTCCATATGCTAGGTCAGGCCTGGTGCAAACCATAAGGTACATTATGGAACCTACTGTGTTGGCATAAGGTATTTTCTCCATTCTCCTTAGTTCATCATCTGTTTTAGGTGATTGTTCATTTGACAATTTAAAATGATTTGCAATTGGAAGAGTGACAGGTTTACATTCTAACATAGAAAAATTTTCAAGAATTTTCTCCACATAGAACCCTTTTTTTTAGTGTTAGTATGTAGTCGTTCCTGTCTCTATTTATCTCCATTCCAAGAATTCTTTTAGCTTGTCCTAAATCTTTCATTTCAAATTCAGATTTAGTTTTGATTTAACAAATTCAATCTCAATTTTATCATGATAAGCAAGTAACATATCATCAACATATAATAGAATATTTATAGATTCAGCTCCACCTGAACCTTTGTAGAACAAACATGAATCATAGTTGCTTTTCACAACGTCTAAAGTTTGCATAAAAGAATTAAACTTCAAATACCATTGCCTAGGGGCTTGTTTAAGCCCATAGAGTGATTTCTTTAACAAGCAAACTTTATCTAATTTAGATTTTACTTCAAATCCTTTAGATTGATTCATGTATATAGTCTCATCAAGGTCACCATTCAATTATGCTGTTTTAACATCAAGTTGTTCTAATTTCCAGTTAAAGTGAGTAGTTAGAGCCAATAGGATTCTGATTGTAGTATATTTGGCAACTGGGGAAAATATTTCATTGTAATCCACTCCTTCCTTTTGAGTGAAACCTTTGGCCACAAGTATGGCCTTATACCTCTTATTTTCTTTATTTGAGTCTCCTTCTTTTATTTTAAAGATCCATTTACAGTCTACAACCTTTTGATTTTTAGGTCTATTGACTAAAATCCAAGTATTATTTTTAACAAGTGAATCCATTTCCTCATTCATGGCTTCATTCCAAAACTTAGAATCAGGACATTTAATGGTTTCGTCAAAGGATGTAGGTTCTGAATTTAAAGAATCAAGAGCAGAAAATAGAGTGACAAATTCTTCAGTATTAAACCTGCTGGAGGGAATTATGGTTCTTCTTTCTCTATCTCTAGTTAACTGGTAATCAGTAAGAGTATTATCTGACACTTCAACTTCATTTTCAGATTCATCACGCTCATTACTTATTTCAGATTGAACAAGCTCCACCTCAAAATTATCATCTTGATTTACAACATTCTGTGTTTGAGTTTCCATGATGGTTTGTTTAATAGGTGCATATTCAAGAGTTTTAGGTTCTCCAGATTTGACACAGGGCATGTCATTTTCATTAAAAATTACATCTCTGCTTATTATGACTTTAAAACCATTTTGTTCTTTAACCCACAGCCTATAACCTTTTGTTTCCTCCCCATATCCCAAGAAAACACATTTTTGGGATCTAGGCTCTAGCTTGCCTTTATCTTTATGAGAGTAGGCAGCACATCCAAACACTTTGAGTTTGTTATAGTCAGGTGTTTTTCCAGACCACAACTTTTCAGGGATTTGACAATCAATAGCACTGGATGGACTTCTATTTATTAGAAAAGTTGCAGTATTTAGGGTTTCACCCCAGAAAAACTTAGGAAGACCAGAACTGTACAACATACATCTAACTTTTTCCAAAAGAGTCTTATTCATTCTCTCAGCAACTCCATTTTGCTGAGGTGTGTATGTTACAGTTCTATGTCTAAGAATTCCAAATTCTTTACAAAATGAATTAAATTCAAAGTTACAAAATTCAAATCCATTGTCAGTCCTTAGTGCTTTGATTTTCTTATTCGTTTGATTTTCAATCATAGACTTCCATTGTTTGAAAATCAGAAAAGTATAAGACTTTTGTTTTAAGAGAAAGGTCCATATTTTTCTTGAAAAATCATCTACTATTAGTAGATAGAACCTAAATCCACTAAGTGTTTTTACTGATGCTGGACCCCACGGATCAGCATGTAGGTAATCCAAGATTGAAGTGGATTTATAGATTCCAGTTTTAAAAGGCAGTCTTTTCTGTTTTCCAACAATACAAATTTCACAAAAGTTTAATTTTTTAATATTATCACTTCCAAAACATCCAAGTTTGTTTAAAATGATTAGACCATTCTCTGAAATGTGCCCTAATCTTTTATGCCAAATTAATGACTTATCAGAAACATGATTTGAGGCTATGGTACAATGGCTTATTACTGGTTCAGCAGAGATTGTATAGATGCCATTTATTTTTGAAGAGGAAATAACACATATGTTCCCTAAAGATAATTTCAGAAGACTCTTGTGTATAGTGATGTTGTATTTTTCATCCAATTCTCCTAGAGAGATTAGATTCCTTTTCAATTTAGGAACATATCTAGCATTTTCTAATTCAAGGGTATAATTGTCAGTTAGCATCAATTTTATCTTCCCAATACCCTTGATTTGACAACTCGTGTCATTGCCCATCTGAATTTGTCCTCCATTAAGATTGACAAACTCAGAAAACCACTCTTTAGTGGGGCACATATGGAAGGTACAACCAGAGTCTAGGACCCATTCTTTTGAATCCCTCCTTTGAGTGTTCACAAGGACAACCCCCTGAATATCAGGTTCATTATTGCAGGCTACTGCTGCAGAACCATCAGTGTTGTTTTTATCTTTCATATCTGAGATTTTCTTAAAGCAATTCTTTATCAAGTGTCCAGTTTTGCCACAGTAATAGCATTTTCTGATCTAGTTCTTTGGTTTTACTTGATTTTTGTTCTTATCTCTATTTCTATTATTCTGAAATTTTCCTTTCTTGGTTGAATTAAAGTTGTACTGGATTTGTTTCTTATTTTGATTTACTTTCTCTTTCATATATAGCCCTTCACCAAACTTAGAGTCTTTTGACTCAGTTTTCATTTCAAGTTCCTTATTTCTAAGGGCTGCAGTTATGATATCTACAGTAAGAGTCTGCCTCCCATATTCTAAAGCATTTCTAATGTATTTATATTTCTCACTTAGAGAGTTTAATAAGGCAACTACTTGTTGGTCACTAGAGATCTCCTCATCACAATTATCTAAGTCCTGAATCAATTTAGTGAATTTATCTAAATTTTCTTCTAGGCCAGAAGAGGGATTGAATCTAAAATTGTAAAATTGCCTTAGGAGGTAACATTTATTAGACATGGACTTAGTTAAGTAAAGAGTTCCTAATTTTGTCCATAGAGACTCAGCAGAATTGGCTTTTGCAGAAGTGGAAGCTTCTGCAGAGGTAGATTCTCCTACCTTTCTAATTACATTGTCTGATAGATGAAGAAAAATAGTACTCCATACAATGTCATCTAATTCTTTCCTCCTATATGCACTAATTTCAACAGCCCATGACCCATCTAGGGCTACAGTACATCTTTGCTGCAGTAAGAGGGCTCTCATCTTTTGGCACCAGAGAGTGAAATCTCCAGTGCCATTCCATGTCTCTATGTCTAACTTATATGAAGTGGACATGATGGCAAATATAATTGAATAACATGCAATTATGCAATATTCAGTATGAGTGATTCAACTAAGTAAGGTAAGCAACAAAGCAATTTATTTTCTGAATTTAATTACCTTATTTACAGGCTTCAAGATTAATTGGAACACAGTTTAAAATGTAAAAATGGGGTCTAGAATTATACCATAAGACTGAAATTTAAAAATTTCAGTTTAGGAGTGATCATACTTAAGCCAGGGAAGGAACCAGGTTGCACTGCACACTGCACAGATCAATGTATTTCCAGAACTCGGAGTCAACTCAGCAGGAATCGGAGCGAGTCAGCTTAACTCGCCAACTCAGTACGAGTTAGAATACCCAGTTGAAACTCATTTGCGATTCAACTCAACTCACCAAACTCAGTGCGAGTTAGGGCAATCTCTTGAACTCAATTATGAGTCAACTTAGAAAAATTCAAAAAGTAGAGGAGCAAACCTTGAGGATCGAATTTTTCAATTTCCTCTAAAGAAAAACCAACAGATTTCAACTTAGGAAGGGTTTCGAACTTTTAAATACAAGTTTTGTATGCGATATAGTTAACAGAAAATTTTCAGACTTAAAAATTTTTTTTGACAAAAACTTGAACCTAGGGTTCCAAGAAGTGATAGATCTGAAAGTTCGAGAGAAGAAACAAGTAAAGGAAAAAAAATCAAGAAACCGGCTCTGATGCCACTGTTATGTTTTAAAACTTAAAACATTTGGATCGATCTTAAGAAAAACACTAAACGAGCTGCAGAAATCAAAGAAAATCAACACAAGATATGGTTTGCCCTTTTAAAATGGCCCGGATGTTCGATTTTGCAACCTAATCACCCGTTGAGCATCTCTCACGAGATTAAGCTCTAGATCCACTAATAACGAACAAGAACAACATACAAATGTACGAAGAAATTGATTTCTTCGAGTTTATCTTGCCTCTTGACACAACAACAACAACAACAATGCTATCACTCTCACAAATTGCACAAAACAACCATTTCTCTACACAAAGATCAGAATAATATCAATCACAAAGATCGATTTCATCTAACATGGCCAAACCCTAATTTTCACTCAGAAACAAAGGACAGAGAGAACGACAGAGAGTAAGACGAAGAGACTGCACACCAGAAGTCTCTAGAATGGCAAAAATGAAAAGGCTAAGACCCAGTGTAAGTATCCGTATCCATTCAACAATCAGAGGGTAGAGATTTAGCCACGTGTACGGCTAAAATTAATTCTTGAAGAGGCATTTTTTTTTATCAAAAACACAATTTCATTAAACTTGAAATAACCACAGCAACCCGATGGTGCATTTAGCCTAATAACAGAGGCCCACAAAGCCAAGAATTATGTGAGGCGGCCCACAAATACTTAACAGACCCCTTTCATATACTACCTTAGAATACCTCTAAAAGACTCTCTATTTTTAAAGAGTAAAAATTTTGAAGTAATCCAACAGACTTTTTATATTTAACACTTAATTTTACTACTTTCAAAAAATATTTATTATTTTTCTTTATATTTTATATTAACTATATTTTCTCTAAATTATTATATTATTTTTCTGCATTGAAAATTGAAATACTTTAAAAATTTTAATTATAGAAATTGAGTTTGTTTTTAAATTAAAATGTTAATTTAAAGAGTCTTTTAGAGCATATTTTAAGAGTCACTTATTTAAAATATAGAGTTTTTTATGTTTAAAGAGATCTTTGATGCTCTAATCCTTATCCTTATCTTGTCTTTTATTTCTACATTAATATTGCATTAAATGAAACGTTAAAGAAGGCAAATTTGGTAAACAATAATTAAAACTAGAATTATGCTACAGTTTTTTCACCAATCAATGATGAAATGTCACTTGAACATTAAGTACACCATGATTTAAAATCTCGATGTACTTATAGCAAAACTCTTAAAATTATGGGTGAAAGTTTTAACTTTTTAAAATTAATTCTAAGTCAATAAGATGAAATTAAAAAGAATTTTTGAGCTTAACTCGTTGATAGGACAATACGACTAAGCCGTCATTTGGTAACAAATTTTCACTCCAAAAAATCAATTTTTTGACCGTTATTTCACTATTTTCAGTCTTCATTTTTTTACTTTTTCACTTACAGGTGGGATCCACTTTTTTCTCGAACGGTCAAAAAAATCAATTCTCATAATCACTACCGATCATGCCTAAGAAAAATGAAAAAGTTTCCCTCGATTGGTCTCTTGGAAGCCAAGAGAAGAGGTGCAACATCCACAGCTGTGCTAAAATGGGGTGCTCATATGGTCAATTAATATTTACAGATGAGGAAATGTTAGTAATTAATTTTCACACTCACACACATTTATATATACAATCCATGCTTCAAGGCATTGTCTCAAGTCACAGTCTGATTCCACCTCCTCTCTCTCTCTCTCTCAAACTCACATATACTGTATGTGTTGAACGTAACGCTTGGAAAATGCAAGCACCAACTTTTTCACTTCGGCCGTCACCGTCGAACCACCTTCTGTCACCGACGAACCACCGTCTGTCTCTGGTCACTGGCATTTCGAGTAGAAGTTCAAAGTCGTTTGGGTTCCGTACATTCCAATGCTGCTCCAATCAGTCTCCATCTTTAGGTGTCTCTCTCTACACTTATGTGTGTGAACTTTTGGTGTATCTATGTTTATGTGTTGTTGTAGTTTGCCTGTTGCATGTACGTGCATTTCTAAATTCTGTAGTTAATCTAAAGAATTAACTTTTTTTTCCTTTTTCCTGTCGATAAGACAATGCAAAAACAGGAAAATTAAAAATTAATTCGAATTCTGAATTTTAGTTTTCCTGTTCATTTAAGGGCATAAAAGAAAAAAAAATTAATTTTATTTCTTCATATGTTATTGGGCGGAAAACAAGAGTTATAAGAATGATCGAATCAAATGTAAATATTTTTTTTTCAATTATGAGTTTTTTCACATGTTACTGGATGGTATTGAATTAATGTTAGTGAAAAGGAGAAAAAAAAAATTATTTTTATTTTTTCATATGTTATTGGAAATGGAAAGATGGTAAAAAGGAGTTTGACGATGATCGAGTTTTTAAAGTTAGTAAAAAAGGAAAGTTTTTATGGTTTAAAATTTATATTTAACTTTTCATGTATGTCGTTGGATGGTAAACAAGAGTTTGGACCATGATTGAGTTTACATTCTTTCTCTGCTTATGTGTTTTTAAATCTCAGTTTCGGATGAGAAGAGGTTCATAGAAGCATCAAAAAATGGGAATTTAATTCCTCTGTGTGAAACCATTTTCTCGGATCAGTTGACACCAGTGCTGGCTTATCGGTGCTTGGTTAAGGAAGATGATCGAGAGGCACCAAGCTTCCTTTTTGAATCGGTCAAGCCTGGTCATCGCACAACCACTGTCGTAAGAATATTAATTTTGCTCAAAATTATTCATTCTTTTGGAAATGAATGAGCACATGCATGTACAATGGCGGAACCAAAGGGATGGCGAGATTGGAGACCATCCTCGCAAATTTTGATATATATTTTTTAAATCTATGTTGTAATTTTGACTTTTTTTTAACATTTACATAGTACACGTATAGTTCGCCCATTTGATATTTTTTTTGCTCGCGCTAAGCAATAATCCTTGCTCCGCCACTGGCATGTGTAATGGAATATTAGGAATTTGTCTAAATTCTTGTCTCATGGTTTATTTAGGGGCGATACAGTGTGGTAGGGGCGCAGCCGACTATGGAAATTGTGGCGAAAGAAAATGAGGTTACACTATTAGACCATGAATCTGGAAAAATGACTGAGTGGGTTGTAGAGGATCCACTGACGATTCCAAGAAGTATTTCTAAGGATTGGAAACCACAGCTGATTGAAGAACTTCCTGATGCATTTTGTGGTAAGAATCAGTGGTAATAAAATGCATTTTGTAATGTTTAATGCTAAATATTTCAGCAGCCTCAAATTGAAAATTTATGTATATCTTAGATATATTGATCAAGATGCACAAAGAGGTATTTTTATATTCCTGGTAGGTCTATGACTTCCCTGTGATTCTTTGTGAAAAAAATGCACGTACGTCATGACACTTGTTGGATACTTCTATGCTAAACACGGAACATTCGTTGTGTGCTTTCTATTTTACTTTTAACTCTACAAACTGCACGACACCTGTTTGCAAAGCGTAGATAACTAGAGAAGCTTTGTCCAAGGAGCACAAACCTTCATTTAATATGACGAGTCTAATCTAGACACGTGTTAGATACCAATGCACTGGCATTCTTGGTAGGTCAATGACTTCCGGTGATTCTTTGAGATAAAGCACGTACTTCATGACACTTGTTCGATACTTTTATGCCATATGTGTAACATTCGTTGTGTAATTTCTATTTTACTTTAACTCTTCAAAATGCACTATCTAAAACCTGACACTTGACACACACGATCGACACATTGCATTTATCATAAGCTAAAAAGTCAAATATACTTGTTATGTCGACAAGATTATGCTTGAGATTTTCATGAGATATTAATAAAGGGAATCGTCTCATTAATTATGTGTGAGTATTAGCGTAATGAAATATTTGTCATAGATGAGTTTATATATATCTTAAAACAGGCCAGATATTGATTAATCCTATTATAAACATTATCTTTATAGTAATAGTAGATATCATAACTTTTTAGACACACTTACATATTGCATTCATCTATATGTGTACAGATACATAATGGAAGATATCCTTACAATTTCCTTATCATCTTGAACAGGTGGATGGGTTGGGTTTTTCTCATATGACACAGTTCGTTATGTGGAGAAGAAAAGGCTGTTATTCTCAAACGCACCAATGGATGATAGAAATCTTGCAGACATTCATCTTGGACTCTACGATGATGTAATCGTGTTTGATCACGTAGAGAAGGTATGGTTAGCTTGTTGAAAATTAGAATGTATGGATCTTATGTCCATTTTTTCTATTTACAGATGATATTAGAATGACCTACAACACCAATGCTATTATGAGAAAGCAGCTGGCATATGCAAAATATCTTTGATATAGACATAATGCTTTTGGCTATCTGTTTATCTTATTCTTGTAACTTTATTGATATTATTCGTTAATGATTCTTTGAAACTCCCCTTGTCTGCACAGAAAGTGTATGTGATTCATTGGGTCCGATTAGATAGATTCTCGTCTGCTGAGAAGGCTTACAACGATGGAATCACCCGCTTGGAACAATTGGTGTCCAGAGTAAAAGACACTGATCCGTGAGTAAAAAATCTTTGTGATATCTCTATCTTGAAAATGATTGTCTGCAACGTAATTTACACTTGCTAATCTGTAATTTTTACTGTCATGTTAGTCCAAGACTATCTCCCGGTTTCGTCAGCCTCCAACCTCACAGTTCTAAACTCTCTTTAAACAAGAATAACATGACAAGTGAAGAATACAAGAATGCTGTTGTACAGGCAAAGGAGCATATTTTTGCTGGGGATATTTTCCAAATTGTTTTAAGTCAACGCTTTGAACGAAGAACGTTTGCTGACCCATTTGAAATCTACCGAGCTTTGAGAGTTGTGAATCCAAGTCCATACATGAGTTATATGCAGGTTTCTTTTTCACTTTGACTATTTCTATCCTTTGTTTAATCAATAGATTTCAAATATCGTCGTGCATTACTTCATGTTAGGCTAGAGGGTGTATTTTGGTAGCTTCAAGCCCTGAAGTTCTAACGTGTATCAACAAGGTAAAATTCTGTTCCCATTTCTCCTAATTTTATCTGGTCGTATCATGCTACTTTTACAATCCACATATTATCAATGCTTTGAATATCTTCGAGGTCATTTCTGTAACTTCCAAAGTTCTTATATGTTTAAGACAAATAACAATATAAATCTTCTATGCCATTCTACTTGACAGAAAAAGATTGTTAACCGACCCTTGGCTGGAACAATTAAAAGAGGGAAGACAACCCTTGAGGATGAGATGTTAGAAATGATGATGCTAAAGGATGAAAAGCAATGTGCGGAACACATTATGCTGGTTGATTTGGGCCGAAATGACGTTGGAAAGGTTTCTCCTTATCTATTTAACTGCAAAAGATATCGAGAAAAAATATTACGTTCTAAATATTGACAGTGTGTCATCTATTCATGTTTTGTTCTAATTTTTTCCCATAGATTCTTCCTATTTCTTTTTATTGCTATCTCCATAGTATCAATGAAAATCAGTGCTTCTAAGTGTGGAACTCATAATCTCTATGTGCATTTCTTGCCATTGTTAAGTGTCTGCCTTCTCTTCTTGTTGGCTAAGACGTACATCTAATATTTTTTTTATATTTGATATGTACTCATATGAAAAAACTTACACATCAAACATAATTTTAAACAGTTATTTTTTGTGGATTCTTGATGTAGGTCTCAAAAGCTGGTTCTGTTAACTTGGAAAAGCTTATGACTGTTGAACGATATTCCCATGTCATGCATATCAGCTCTACGGTGAGAATAGACACCACACCATCTTTATTACAGAAGCAAGTTTTCATAGTTACTAAAACTTTTACTGACAGATCACCGGGGAGTTGCTTGATCATCTAACTTGCTGGGATGCACTGCAGGCTGCATTGCCTGTGGGAACAGTTAGTGGAGCACCAAAGGTCACTACTTTATTTTCTATTTATTAATTACACTTTCCTTATCTGTTATTATTTACAAGTGATTCGATAAAAATGCGAGTCTTCTGTGATTACTAGCTTTTCACTCTTCAGATGTATGGTCTGTCTTAGCCTTTGCCGTCTCTGGGAGAAAAAAGAAACCTTAATAAGGTTAAATTTCTTCTTCTTACAGGTGAAGGCCATGCAGTTGATTGACCAGTTAGAACCAACAAGACGAGGACCTTATAGTGGTGGCTTCGGAGGAATTTCATTTATAGGAGATATGGAAATTGCCTTGGCACTAAGAACAATGGTATTCTCAACAAGACCTCCTTATGACACAATATATTCGTCCAAGGGTCACGCCAACAGGCGGCTAGAATGGGTTGCTCATATTCAAGCTGGAGCTGGAATTGTGGCTGATAGTGATCCTCATGAGGAGCAGATAGAGTGTGAAAGAAAAGCTGCAGGACTTGTTCGTGCCATTGAGCTGGCAGAATCAGCATTCGTAAAGGAAAACCCAGCAAAGATTGACAGTGCATTATCATCCGAATCATCTGTATCACAATGAATATAGAAGATTAGACTTTAAGGTACTTGAAAATGTAGAAACCAAATAGAGGAGAGCACATTTATGCAAAAATCATTGTTCTGCTACTTATGATTGGGCTATTATATACATACATACATACATACATATATATATATATATATATATATATATATATATGTATATAAAGTTTTTCATTTCGTGGAAGACTTGTGTTTATATAAATTTCATTTATGGCGCATCCAAAATTCAAACGATAGTTTTAATGGTTGTATCCGATAATTATGGCTACTATATTCCCAATTTTTTGCTTATTGTCAAAATTCAAAAACAGAGTTTTCAAATAATGATTGTCAAACAAGAGCTTAGTAAGCATCTTCAATTTAGTGCAATCAAGTAACCCAGTTCAATTTGCTTCCAAATATATCAACTTTGTCCACTATCATCATTTTGCATTTGGTATGCTTAGAATTGGACAGAACTCTCGAATCAGACTCGAACCATTGTTTCGTTCGATACTTTTTAAATTAAATACCCGAATGAGAACTGATGGATTTGGTTCGTTTCTCAATTTTATACCAAGAATTGAATCTTCCTAATTTTTTTGATATTAAATAAGTCAAATTATTTTATTTCTTCTTTAAATAAATTTACCAACTAATTAATTGATCATTTTCCTGTTTTATTTGCCTATGAGCCCAAAATATCATTTTTCTATTTTCAGCCCAACCCCAACTTTATAATTAAAATTTCAAAAAAAATAAAAACTGAGTGACATAAATTTTTATCGATCATTTTTTCATTTTTTTAAATAATCGAAGTTGAGTGACTGCGCCAGTCTTCATCTTATCCTTTTCTCTGCTCTATACATTGAATTTGTTCCACTTTGATCACAATAGGCTTCATCACATTCCTTTCCAATAATGAGCTCAATGTATAACACAATAAGTATAAGTAAATCCAATTCACCTCTGATATTGAAGTTAAAACTTTATGTGAAATGTTATTCAATGTGTAACAAAATCCATGCTTCTTTCCCAAAGAATGTTTTCGGCAATGCAAGGATGTTTTCTCAAAGAATGTGAAATATTCTTCAGTATTATAAGAGTTAAAATTTAACATGTCATTAGTTGGATTAAAAGTAATGTTTTTGTAAATGTTAAAAAAAATTAATTATAGTAATAAATCGAATTGATTCGATTCCGTAATTAAATTTGAACCCGACCATTCTACTTATTAAATACTCAAAAATTTTGGTTCTTTAGAATCGAACCAAACCATATCCAACTCCCTGTATGCTGACATGGACATTAAAACCAATGGACAGATTACGTGCTTAGTTCATATAACTTTCTAAAAAAGTATTTTTCAAGATGGATGATGTGTATTATTGTGTGTGTGTGTGTGTAGTTTAACGTCTAGATAAGAATGTTATGTAAGTTAAACTGGCTAGGCGGTATACAAAAGGACCATATTTGTAAATAAATCGAAATTGGGTGATATAATTGCACCAAATTGAACATAAGTGACCAGATTTTCAAACAATTCAAAATTTAGTAATTTGATTAGACAAACTTAAAGATGAGTAATTAGATACAAAACAAAACTGATCAGTCCTTGTTTGAGCCCCATTTTTTTTGGGTACCGCTATTTTCATCCACATTTTTTATAAATACATCCACTTTTAAAAATAAATTTTTATTATATTTTAAATCCTATGTAAATTTACTTAAATAGACATAAAAAAAATTAAATAAAAATACAAAACTCTAAATTGATCCACTAATTTTTACTTTTCATTGGATGAAAATAACTACATGCACAAAGGAATTGCCGTAGAACAGCATTAAGTTCACAACTCTTCCATCGGAAAACGTGAATAATGTAGTCAGCTGCTTTTTAAGACTGCTTGCATGATGATGCACTACAATCTGTGACCAACAAGTTGCAAGGCATATTAAAGTTATCTGCACATGGTGGATGAAACAGCGAAATCAGCTCCATAATTCCTGCATAGATCTGTTGAGATCAGATTGATTAAATTCAGAGGTTGTTTCTTCCACCAAGGTTCCCATGGTTTCTTGTTCTGAACCTGTTCTTGGCGATGTGGCAGATTTCCAAGTGAGGTAGCCACTAACAGGAAGCAATTTAGACAGTTCAAAATTAATGGGGATTGACTGGTGATTGCTGTGCATAGCCATTCTAATGTCTTCAAAAAGTTCAGTCAGATTTCTTCCTAAAATATGGGCTTCTTTCGAGATTTCTTCCACGACTTTCTAAAGCCAATTGCTGGGCTTTCTAAAGGATGGGTTTCTTGTTTGAAGTTTGGGGTCTACATCACTGAACTCATTTTGTTCCACTGGAGCAAGTTCCCCGGTTTTTGAAATCATATTATTCCGACACATATCCTCTATGGAAGCTGATAGTGTGTAACTCGCTTCTGAAGGAGCAAAAGAACTCGTCATTCTGCTTCCAATTTCTTTATTTTCCTTATATTCTCCAAATGTTGTCTATGTGCTTTTTTGCAGATCGACGACCATATTCCGTCTCCTCATTCCGGAGGTGAGTTCTTTCTCAAGCATCCGAAAACTCAAGATGATGAAAAAAAATGATGAAAATAACGTGGATGCAAATAGTATTTTTTTTAAAAAAAATTATGTGGATATATGTCATTTAAATGAATGAATTTAGTAAGGATGAGATTGGAATATAACGTGGATGCAAAGAGTATTTTTTTAAATTTTGAAAATTTTATTAGGGATGAACTTAGAGTGGGATGAACTTATTAAAAATGTGAATGGAAATAGCGGTACCCTTTTTTTTGGAAAAATGCATTTTTAAATAATGTTTTATTAGAGAATGTATGGTTAAAAAATAAAGAAAATTTTTGAATTTAAATGTAAAATTATTTTATATAAGAATATGTGGTTAAAAATAAGTTTTGAAAAAATGAGGACTAAACTCGAACCGCAATGCATTTAAGCCGTACAAAGACACATTGAGCTCATTTCCAGAAGGCCTTTTTTTTTTTGGAAAAATAAAGCAAAACTATATTTATAAACTTTACATTTCAAAACTAGGGTGATTAGGTTTAATTTTCTAAAATCAGATGTTAATTATTTATTTTAAAATTAATAAAAATAAGTTAATTATAAACTAATTGTTCATTTACGTGATGAAATCTGGACCGTCCATATTTGAATTACACAGTTTTCATATCACTTCTGCACGTAATCACCCATCATCCAACCCACGTCCATCGCGTTTTACCATAAACTGCCTTTCTCTCTCTCTACAGTGCAGTGCAGAAACCACGTTCTTCTCTCTCTCCTTCGGAATAAAGAAACGATGTTGCTCTCTCTCTCTCTCTCTCTCTAATACGGTAAAGTAACATCCCACTCCGTTTCTCCACTACTACGAACCGCACAATATATCGTCGTTTATTAAATTTTAGTTTCAACAATAGTTGTGTTTGGAATGGCAAAAACGTGTAGTGTTAGTGCAAAAGTGATGGAGAAGGATAAATAAAAGAGGAAATATGTTGAAAGAGATTCTTCTTCAGCAAAGAGAGTTAAAATGTCGTCCTCTGGAGGGAAATCCATGAAGAAGGTGAACTCCGATTTTGTGACCTATTATTTGAGTAGTTTGTGACCTGATTTGGGTATTCTGCGTAGGAAATATAATTTTGTGACATGTTTTAGGTATTTTGTAATTTGAAGGTTTTGTGACTTATTTTATGTATTGCGTGATTGTGACTTTCTACTTGTTTGTGTTATGATTTTAGAAAATTTATGACCAACTATTTTATGATCTGGAGAGAAACCCATGAAAAATGTGAACTCCGATTTTGTAACCTAATTTCTGAAATTTGTGACCTATTATTTGAGTAGTTTGTGACCTAGTGTAGGTATTTTGTGTAGGAAATATCATTTTGTGACCTGTTTTAGGTATTTTGTAATTTGAAGGATTTGTGACTTATTTCATGTACCGTGTGATCAATTACTATTTATTTTAATCGAATGTGTTTTCTAAGGAGTGCTGGATTGTTTGCAAATGAAATAGGTGTTGTGACTTTTTACTTCTTTGTGTTATGATTTTCGAAATTTGTGACCAACTATTTGTGAGTTGGTCACAGTGAAATGTTTGTGTGTTGAAGGTCACAGTAACATTTTTTATTTTACGATTGTGCGGGACTGGAAATACTTAATAAAACCAAGGAATTGGTTTTCTAGGAAGATCACCACAACGCCAATACAGAGTGTGATTACGCATTTTGTAATGAAGTTTAATGCTGCCCAAAGGGCAATTCTAGAAAACACATGTTTCTCCTACTACTTGCATTGTAGGGAGATAGTTGTGCCCACAATTGATTCACCAAATTTTACTATGGGAGGTCAAGCAACCGAACAAGCAGGAGATGTGGTTTAATGTAAATGGGAGATATATTCATTTTTCAATTGCTGAATTTTGTTAGGTTACGGGATTGAGGTATGATGGGGTCGATGGTCGAACAATATTAGATGAAAAATCGTCTAGTGAAGGACATATATTTTAAGGACTTAAAAGTTGTTGCAAGTGAAGATGTCAAGAGGGTTTTTATTTCACTGGATGATGCTCCAGACCTTGACGTTATTAAGATTGGAATTATCTATCTCATCACCTCATACTTATTTGCTACATCCTACCCGAAGGTGGTAGATCAATACATATTTGCACTTATAGACGATTTTGTCACTCTTGAAACATTTCCTTGGGGTAGATATTTGTTTGAGACCACCTTATCGTCAGTAAGAAAGGAACTATCAAAACAAACTAGTCACTACAGATTGACAGGTTTTTTAGTGGCTTTCCAAGTGTGGCTATATGAGTGCATACCTGCACTTGAGGGGAATGTGGCCACAAGAATTTGTAAGAAATATCCACTCATTATTAATTGGACTGCTCACAAACATCCTTCAGCGGCAATGTTGGAGGACAAAGTGTTTGGAAATGAGAATGTAAGGTTTTAAATACATCTAAATTGTTATGTAATCATTAGGTTAATTATATAAATTTTGAAATGACATATGCTCAATATTTTTTCATCTTATGTGAAACAGGTTGTGATAAATGATATTGATCCATCTGAAGTTGAGCTCACAATGCCATATATGACAGATTTTAAATATGAACTTCACATATATTATGATACGAAATATGATTTGTGACCTGAAGTATGAATATCATGTTTGTAAATCGACATATCTTTTATGACTGTGACCTGAAACATGTAACTTGTGACTTGTGACTTTCTTTGTCCTTATGTATGTTGTGGCTTGTGCCTTGTGACTTACTTTTCTCTTATGTGACTTGTGAATGTGATATGAAACGCGTGATTTGTGACTTTCTTCATACGATTGTAACCTGAAGTATGAATATCCTATTTTGTAAAGTCACATGTCTTTTAAACTTGTGACATGAAACATGTGATTTGTGTCTTGTGACTTTCTTCATTCTTGTGTATGTTGTGTACAATCGGTAGATGTGCAGTACTTAAAACCTAGACAACCAACTCGGAACGTTAGAATCTCTAAAAATCAAGTGGGCACAAGTGAGGCAACTTCCCTGCTGTCGAAGGTACACGTTGAAGATTCAGATTTTGTAGACTCCCCGCTATATAAACAAACGGGGGCTGCTGACTCTAGCTCTTGCGATCAGCAAAGTGCTGCCTACCATCCAGATTGCTCATGTGTTGAGGTAAGTAATTTCATTGTCTATTCACTTAAGAACACATTTTATATACAATTCCACTAACTACAAAATGTATTAGGAATGTAGTCGACTAAAGCAGTTGATTGATAAGGAAATAACCAAACTCCAAGCGGAGAACAAGGGGTTGAAAGAAGAGTTTATGTCGATGAAGTCAGAACTATCTAAGATGAATGTAAACATGGGTCAATCAAACAATTCTTTGAAACTTAATGAGGTCATTCAGAGTCACAATGTGTTGAAAGATAGCTTGAGTGACATTAGGTTGTCTCTTAAAAATTTTGTTGAATTTGTATCTGACATTTTATTTTCGGTGATGGATGAACTTCATAAGATGTTGAGTGGTAAAGATATTTTGATGGAACAAGTGCTGAAAGATGATGATGATGTTGACAAAAAGGGCAAGGGTCACATGGAACCTGAGCCAAAAGGTGATGATGTTGCTGAAAAAAGTGACAATGTTCACATAGAACCTGAGCAAAAAGGTGATGGCGTGGCTGAAAAAGTGGACAAGGGTCACATGGCACCTGAGTTTTCACATGTTCATGATGACTATGTTCTTGAATCTCCTTCATTTGATCTATGAGTTGGCTCTTCACAGACACCTAAAAGCTCTGATGATACATTTTTTGCCAGTAAAGAAGTGCAGGATCAGGTTGATGAGGCTATTGCACGCGTGTTGAAGTCTACTGAATTTCATTTCAAAGATGTCAGTTTAATGAAACATTTAATGTTTTAATATTATAATTTTAGACTAATTGTCATACACTAATTTAAGAAACATTGTTTTTATGTTTTTTATTCAGGAAGATACACCTGCACCACCATCATCTGGATTACCTATGAAGAGAGCACAAAAGCCATCGAAAACTCTGCAGTCACCTTTTGTTAAGGTCGATCCACGTCATGCTGCTACTGGATCAAAATCTAACTCTGTAAATGTCGTGTTCCAAAATTATTTGAAAGGAGTTGATAGCACAGATCTAAGTTCATTTAAGAATTGGTTTGACAGAAGATACAAGCCCAAGAACAGGTGAATTAAACGTAGATTTTAAGTGTTTTTAGTGAATTGTGACCTTCCATTACTTTTTGTGACTACAACATTTCTGGTCACAGACAGAAATAAATTGGTCACAATGTTATTCATTTGTTTGATGAGGACATATGTGTGTGCACAGGGTAAAGTTCAACGATGTAGATAACGTGATAAGTCCTCAATTTGTATGTGGCACTGTCACTGTTCATTATAAAACTTGGTGGCATGCGTTGATTGATTCTAATTCATCATTGAACAGCACGGTACAATATTTTCACCATTTTCCACATATGCATAGTAGTTTGTATTACTTATGTATATTCTTTCTTACTACAGCAATTGGATGCATGCTTTCATTACATAAGACAACTTGTCAAGTTCAATGAAGGTGTGAAGATGAAAACTATCACTACAGACTGCATATTTGATATGTCAATCAAGTCCACATACTCCAAATTTATTCAAGACCCAAGCATTGTTGAGAAGAAGGATGAGCTAATCAAAACCATCAATGGTAAACGGTTATCATTTAATACTGCTTGGAGAGAAGTTGAATCTGCGTTAATGCCCATTATGCCCACAAATCATGCTTATTGGATGTTAGGGCAGCTTGATATTACTAACCATATCCTTTACATATATAATTCAAGCAACAAATCATACAAGGACAACAAGGTTCGCGAAGGGGCTTTATCGCTTGTAAAGACTCTTACACACCTGTTAAAATTTGTCGAGCTTTGGAAGGAAACTAGTGATGGTATTGGTGACAAATCTGGGGAACTGCATGTTAATATTGTCCGTGGTTTACCTCAACAATAAAATGGGTAAGTTTCGCTATGGGCATTGAAAGTTTTATCATTTTCCATCAACATTTAGTAATTACTTATTGTTTGTCTTCTTTAAATATTACAGGCATGATTGTGGGGTTTTTGTGATAAAATATACACAGTATTTGTTGCACAATGATCTTGACAATATGCCAATGTCATTTGATGCTGGGAATGCCAGGCTTGAAATTGCAGCGTTGCTGTTCAAAAATAAACAATTGAAGCAGATTGGAAAGGGAAGTTCAAAGTTAGATAAATGAACTCTTGTTGATGGCATTGTTTTCATGATGGATTAGATTGATAGCTGTTCAAAATTAGACAAACAGATATTTTTATGATGTAGTCGATAGATGTTATCTTTGTAATATGTTTTGGAATTGAATTTGAATTTGTTTTTGTCAATTGGTACAAGGTGAAAGTACTGGTGTTTATGTAAATGATTTTGTTTATATTATCTAAGTTTTTTTATGGATGTAAAAGTCTATATTTGCACGGTCTGAACAGGTCACGTGAGAATACTGCACAGTCTAAACATGTTACAAATAGTCACATGTGAGTAATGTGTTATATAACCGTAGGTCACAGATCGTCACAAATAGCAACAGTTGATTAATTTGCATAACTTGAATAGGCCACAAGCGGTCATATATGAGTACTTTCTTATATAACTACAAGTCACAGATGGTCACGAATAGTTTTTGTTAACTTATTACATATGAACAGGTCACAAATGATCACGAATGCTTAACATTTATCATTGACACTCTTACAAAAGAAGTAAGCATAGAATTGGTCTCATCTAGTGGAAGATGAAATTCAGATTTAGTTTGAACACACAAGTTAAACAAAAAACATAGAACTTATTTTATGCTTAAAATGGTCATAGACGGTCACAATCATAAAAAACAGAGTCACAATCAATGTTTGTTTACACAGCCCTTTTCCAGAAATAAGTAACATCATGAGATATAATGAAAGCTCAATGCATAAATCTGTCAACTCGTATAATCCAAAAAATACGTCGTTCGGCAATAAAATGAAACAATTTGCAATTACAATAAATACCATTGTGTAAAAAAAAGTATGCTAAGCTATTTGAATTTCTTTGGATCTTTCTTTATTTTCAATTTTTTGTCATTCTGGTTAAGTGGCACCAAGTTCCTGCATGTTCGACGATTGTGCCCGAATTCACCGCATCTTCCACATTTCACAACTTGTGATCTTTCATATGCTGGCTTGTTTCTCTTCTCAATAGGCCGTCCAAAACTTCTCTTTTGGTTTGGAGTAAAAACAACTCTATTACTTACATCTTCTGGCAAATTTCATTCTAATTTATTACTTACAGGAAAGACAGTCTCTTTGTAGGTATTTAGATATGCATCTCTTGTGTAATACACAAAGCAAAAGTCATATACATTCAGCTTCAATGTTGCTATTACTGCCAGTGCACGTGGACAGGGAAGTTGATCCACTTGAAACATTCTACAACTACGTGTATGTAGAGTTATATCAATCACGTATGATGATGAATTGTCCCTCACTTCAAACAAAGTGTGACTTGCAGGTGAAACCTGAAAATAAAAAATATTTAAAGTTATACTTGTGATCAACATAATAAACATAGTTTTCTTATTTTTACCTTTAGATTTCTCACATCATTGCTCATTTCCCTTAACAACTTCTCATATTTTGTTGCAAGCTTTGTGAAAGTGTCATGCGCGTCATCTCTATTTTTCCAAATTCAAGATTGGATCGTTTGCCTCAATGATTCTAGAAGTGCTTCAATGGGGTAATTTTTTGCTGCCTTTGTGACTGTGTTAACAGATTCTACTATGTTTAATGTCAGAGTAGAGTATCTATTAGTTAGCATGTGCAATCTTGACCATTTTTCATATCCAACATCCAACTATAAAATAATTTTAGTTATTAGATAACAGATTCAAGTAACAAGTCACATATGGTCACAGTTAACTCTAAAAAGTTCACAGATAGTCAGTATTATCACAGAACATGTCACAAATGGACACATTCATAAAACTATATTATATTTCAATTGTAAATGAGACCACATGCTAAATATGCACTGTATATTTGATTCATAATCATGTTTCAATTTCATGTAACAATAAATAAAATATAGTTTGTACATTAAACATGCGTGATCACAGATATTCATATAAATTTCATAACATCACAGAAAAAGTGACAGGAAGTCATATAACATATGTTTCAGACAGTCACATACAAAATATCCCCTGATATCTTCATTTATTGAGTCCAATTGTTGCATTTGGTATTCAAATTCATCTACTGTATAAGCTCTTAAAGCAAAATTGAATGCATGCGTGACATTGTGTCCTGATTTTGCGTAATGTGACTTCAAATTTTTCAGCAAATGGTATGAACAGATCCCATGCATTGTCTCTGGATATACAAATTTAATGGCGTTTCTTATGCTATTGTGTCTATCGGATACTATACATAATCCGTCTCTAGATCCACGCTCTCTTCAACATCTCAAGAAACTATCTCCATGACTTATTGTTTTCATTATCTCCAATCCTAAAAGCTGGTATGAAGATATTGTTGTTTGCATCTTGTGTACAAGCCGTAAAGAGTGTACCCCGTAGTGACCATTTAAATATGTACCATTAACAACAATGATTGGCCTACAATATTTCCAACCAGCAATCGATGCACCCAAAGCCATAAAACAATATTTAAATCCATCTAAATGATCAGTTTCTATTCGTGTGACTGTCCCTATATTCATCTGTTGTAACATAAAAAAATAAGAAGGTAGCAACTGAAACGATATTGTTGGATAACCTCCAATCAATTTTAATGTCTGCTCACGTGACCTCCATGCCTTCATATAATTCACCGATACTTCATATTTGTGCAACATGTCATTTGAGATATCATTAGGAGTGTATATTGTACGTGAAAAAGTGTATTTGTACCTGATGTAGTTTGACACCATTGAGTTAGATGCTTGTCGAAGAGATCCTAAAACAATGTTCATTGAGCATGTGTGACCATTACAGATTTTCCTGATCTTAAACGTTTTCGTTTCTCCCAAGCGTGAAGATCTAAATATCAACTTGCAATCATTTTGGGAACACTTTATTACGTACTCTTTTTTGTTCGATCTCAACACCTTATATTCAAATTTGTTTTGTATGGCATAGAGGGCCAAGCTCATTTTCAATACTTCATTGTTGCGGAAAACATTTCCCTCCACTACTTCTCTAGTATTTGCTTGAGATATCAATGTCACATCTTCTTCAATGTTTCCGTTCTCAATTGTAGTAACTGAGTCACATATATCCTGAGCTATTTGTTGTAAAGAAAACACATTAGCTGATGACTCAATGGTAGTAATTGACGACTCTGGGTATTGCAAAGCACCTGTTGACTGCCATAAGTTTGTAGTGATAACATGAACTGCAATAGGATAGTTGGATACAATTCTATCCAAAGGTTTTAACCTCAAATACATTAAGACATTATTATTACTTAGTATCCGAATTGGAGGTAAACTAAAATCCAAAGAATATGTTAATCTCACACCTACTTCTGCATGATTAAGCCCCAATTCTGAAATAACAAGGTTAACCAACTCATCATACTTACACGTATCATTCACTAGTATAAGTGATGTATGACCTTCATATAACAGGCAAACGTTCAAAATTGTCATCCCTGATCACAACCAAATAACATGTCACACTTCACTCACTAAAATCAGGAAACGATCAGATGCAATGACATTGATGAATACAGGGCACAGATGAAGAAGTCACATATATGTCAATACAGGTCACAGAAGTTATTTAATGTAAAGATATTCGCATACGGTCAACAAATTTAGTGTCGCGGAGAACCAATTTTCAATGCAATGACATTGATCACAGAATAAACTAATTCTACTTATGGAATGTCAAAACATTTAACATATATGTCACAATCTATTTAATTCGGTGGTCACAACTAGTCACAATTGACAGAAATACGCACCAATGTGATTGAATCACCTAAACGGTCATAGATCAACACGTTCATGACTGTAAATTGAAAAAAAAAATTGCATACTACCAATGGTTAATGAAAAAACACACGTCACACACTGGGCAAAGTATAGTTTATTCTTAACGGTATGAAATCTCTGATTATGTTTGGATAAATGTTTCAATAGCTTCGAAAACACCTGTTTCTTCAAAATCATAACTCATGCTAAGTAATTATAAGCTTACCTTCAAAGTCGGATAAAAAAACTTTAATTTCTGCTTTGGCGAAATCGAATTCTTCCATACTCCAGCTTCGACTTTCTCCAATTAAATGAAAATTAGCAGTATATCGACGAGATTGTGATGTCTTTGATCGATTGCAACTTGAAATTGAGGAATGTCAGTTAATTTTCATGATGTTTGGAGAGTTATTGGTGAATCCGTTGTGTAGAGAGAGAGTTTTTGTGGAACCCGTTTTGTAGAGAGAAATTCTCGTTTGATTATGGTTGGAAAATAAAAAATATCTTTAAATATGGTATATTAAGTAATTTGTAGGAGATTATAATTTTTTATCCAAATTTAGTGTATATTACATTATATATTTATATATTTAATATTTTCAATTTATCACCTGGTTTATGAAAGTTTTAAGGGAGTTTGTTAATTGTTAAACATGTTTTTAAAATATAGTAGTTATGTGGTTTTCCCTTCTTTTTTTTTTAAGATAATACTTCAATGGCAGGTTTTTATTATTTTACGTGTAAGGGGAGGAACAATTTTTAGGTATTTACGAGTAATTCCATATTCTGCGTAAAAACTAAAATAAAATAAAAAACTTTAATTATTAGAAGATAATCCAAAAATTAACACAGTGGTGTCGTTTTAGGAGCCGTGTAATGAGAACCATTTTATACGGGGAGATTTTTCTATTTGGCATATCATTATTCCTTTTTATGGAAATGTCTATATTACCCTTAATGAAATGATTTTTTTTATATTGTAACATGCGTCTTAATCTTTTTTATCTTCTGTTTACTCTATTTTGGATATTTGAATATAAAATTATTCTATGATCTAATAAATAAGAATAATCCATAACATATATATCATATTTTCTTAATAAGATATCATATTCTTGAAATGGTAAATTTGTATTTTTTAATTGAGATATAATATTCTTTATTTCTTCTAACATTCTTTCTAATAAATTATCTAATCCTTCAACTGTATATCTTGGCATCTATCAAAATAATCATCATGCAATTGTCCCTGCGATTCTTTTAAGATCTTAAAAAGATTCATTCTAATTTTAGCAAAAGTTTAATAGTTTTACCTTAGGTTTGATCTAAACTTGTATTCTTAAAATCAAGTGACCTTTGAGCTCTGAATTTGTAAACTACTTCCTTCAACGGCCTCCTGCCTTCACGGAATTGTTACTATTTCAGCTACTTGCTCTCACTGTATCATCTTCTAAAGAATAAAATTCTAGACTTCTGTTAAAGAAAAACTCTCTTTTTGCTAAAATAAGAAGGAAACTTTCTATTAGATCCTTCAAGAATCTATGGGAAAAGGATTTAGAAACTCATATTGATATCAAAATATTGAAATTTTATTTCTATTAGGATTGATACAAGACTTCAATTTGGTACAAAGGGATTTCCAGAAAAACTAATTTTTTAAATTGAGAATAGGTTATGGCTTACAACTCGAGAATTCAAGGTAGGATGATCTGATATTCTTCTATGGTAATGTCTCTATCTATACAAGTTTTTGAGACTCTATTACATCATTGAATACATCAGCAAGGTACACTTGCCTTTTTACTTTCTTCCTTGGGCCTACATCTTCACATGGTGGTTCAACTTTCCTATCCAAAGAGCATCTTTTTCTATAATTGCTCTTTATCTTCAATATCTTCACATGTAGTATTATTGTCCTTCATACGCCTTTGTCAAAAGGTGCTTTGTCTTCTTCTTTTATTTCTTCACATGTAATTGGGGCACTCCCTTAGATGGCAGGATTCTTTTATAATGGTAGGACGTCCTGAAAATTGATCTATATCAAATCTTGTAATATAATCTTTTAAAATTTCTGATTTTGCATATCCTCCATTGGATATCAACATCCAATTTTCATATTGGCACAAGTACGAGAATTTTTTATCAAATAAATTTTTGGCAATGTTGTAGATGTCTTTAATTCCAAGTGCTCTTCTATGTCTGATCCATGATTTTGTTACTGTTGGAACTTTTCTATTATTTTCTGTAACATCAATTTGGAAATTGGCTGCAACATATCCAATTGAGATTATGTGTTCAACTGGATGGTAAATAATTCCATCATATTCTGGACTAATTGAATAGAATTTTAAAAATATCTTCCTTCCCTTGGCAAATCTGGATACTTCCTTAATGAATATGTCATCAAACTTTGAAATTTCAATAAAAATTTTTCCTGGATAAATCAAATCCATGAATCCATAGTATGTCATGATTTTTATAAATGAAGGGTCATCTCCTTCTATGGTTGTTATTCTGGGGTAAACATTATTTCCCAGAGAAATGAAATATGAATTACTTATTTTTATTTCATAAGCGATTTTGAATATTTCGGCATATTTTTCTTCGTTTAGGTCTAAAGGGATTTTATCTTCTTG